CGTATCACGGCAGTGGTAGCAGCAGTCAAGGAGGATAAAGCCTCTACGCCTCCTTTCCACATTTGTCATAATACGACCATGTCTCACCATCTCCACAAGAAAGCACTCATCTTGTTTATACACAGTTATATGCGTATATTAATTAATAGATACATATATTACATACACAGCTTTCCTACTTAAATATAAATCCTGATATATATATATATATATATATATATATATATAATTTTATTGAGTGGGGACGAAGAAGCAAAAGGTAAAATACATTTAAAAATATTCAAATACAAGGTTCAAATACAAAATATCACATACAAATAATATTGTTAAAATACAAAATACATTATAAATTACCGTACAAGGTTTATGATGAACGAATTACCGGATAAAACTCTTCTACGCACTCTCATATTTTGAAATCGACGTAGGATTGCTTCATTTGAAACTGGATCAAAAATATCTTTTTCAACAAATGGCATTAAGCAATCATGTAATAAATAATCACTAATTGATATAACCGCCTCACTGCTCACACATTCATTCACAAAGTCACAAATTGAACAAATCAACAAATTGCTCACAAATTGAACAAATCAACAAATTGCTCACAAATTGAACAAATCAACAATCTAGTAATCTACCAAACAGCCAAACTTCTCACATTCATTATTTATTATTCTGACCTGCAAATCTGCCAATTGCCATATACCGTATACCGCCATTAGGCCATACTAAACTGGCGAACTGCTCTCTACTCACATTCATTATTCAATATATTCATAATTCATAAACAAATCACTTAAGCACATAGAAAAAGCACATATATTAAATTGATTACAAATAAAATTAGAGAAATTAGGAATTTAGCCATTTAGGGTTCCAAAAAATTAGAGAAATTAGAGATTTAGGAAAAAAATAAGAACCTAAGCCAGAGGAGACGATAGGGTAGAGGCGTTGAGGCGGTGTTCATGGCTTCTGTCCGGCTGAACGGTAAGGCGGTGAGCCGGTAAAGAGCCAGAGAGGCGACGATTCGACGAACGGAGGCGGGAGACGGGGGGAAGCAGAGCGACGGCGACTGATGAGCTCTGCGAATCTGCGATCTGCAATCTAAAATCTGAAATAAGGAAAATAAAAAAATTAAAATTATATATATAGTACAGCCCCAAAACGACGTCGTTTTGGGGCTGTATAAGTTTTGGCAGTGGGGGCAGCATATATATATATAATTAGGTTCTGGTGTGGTTAGAGTGCCTAGGTGCGGTTGTGCGGTTTAATCTGGACCATTCATATCGCTTAAATCAACGTTCAGATTGTCAAAATTTAAAAAAAAAAAAAAAAAACGTGGTGGCAATTTTGTAATTTTTGCATGTAGGTCAAAATTAAGGTGAACGGATCTGTGATTAATGTGCGTGGGGTTTGTGCTTAATGTGCGTGAGGTTGTACTTAATGTGTGTGAGGTTTGTACTTAATGTGCGTGAGGTTGTGCTTAATGTTGAAACTTAAAATCTGTGAGTTAATATATTAAAGTGCGTGGGGTTTGTGCTTAATATGCGTGAGGTTGTGCTTAATGTGTGTGGGGTTTGTACTTAATGTGCGTGAGGGTCAATAGTTGTTGAAACTTAAAATCTGTGAGTTAATATTTAAAGTGCGTGGGGTTTGTGCTTAATGTGCGTGAGGCTGTGCTTAATGTGTGTGGGGTTTGTGCTTAATGTGCGTGAGGTTGTGCAGACGCTATCATTTGTGTAGACGCTACTCATTTGTGTAGGCGCTATGTGTAGACGCTAACATTTGTGTAGACGCTATCATTTGTGTAGACGCTAACATTTGTGTAGACGCTATCATTTGTGTAGACGCTATCTTCTTCCCGACACACGCGTTTTTTTTATTTTTTATTTTTATTGATTTGAGCCGTTGATCTAAATTTGATCAACAGCTCAGATCTAACTGCACAACCGCACGGGAAGCTATACCCGCACCTGAACCCTTCCCTATATATATATATATATATATATATATATATATATATATATATATATATATATATATATAGGGATGCACTCGGGTGCGAATAAGTGCCCAGGAAGGAATATGCGAACGAATCAGCGCGCGACACGTGTCCAGATCTAATAGCTTAAAAAAACGCGGTGGTATTTTCGTAAATAATTGAACATCGAAGTGCAAGTAAAATCACTTACATGTGCACCTACTTTCACCTATAAGTGCATGTAATTTTGCCTTGTTAGCATTCACTTCCCGAGGTGCAACTATTTATAACTATAGGTGCAACTACTTATAACTATAGGTGCACATACTTTCACCTATAAGTGCATGTAATTTTGCCTTGTTAACATCATTGGTCTGAGTTGAGTGGGTAATAATACCCCTGAAATCCACCCGCAAACATCATGCACCTATGTGCAACTACTTATAACTATTTGTGCAGCTACTTAGAACTATAGGTGCAACTAGTTATAACTATAGGTGCACTTAGTATTGATGC